GGAAGGAAGGAAGGAAGGAAGGAAGGAAGGAAGGAAGGAAGGAGGGAGGGAGGGAAGGAAGGAAGGAAGGAAGGAGGGAAGGAAGGAAGGAAGATGGGGTGCCTAAGTGGCTAAGTCAGTTGAGCGTCCGCTCTTGATTTCAGCTTAGGTCATGACCCCAGGGTCATGGGATCGAGCCCTATGTCGGACTCTGCACTAAGTACGGAGCCTACTTAAGATTCTCTGTCCCTTTCCCCGACTTGCATTCTCTTCCTCTAAAATAAAAAATAATTTAAAAAATAATAAAAATAAAAATATAAGATTATATAGTTTCTTTGATCACTATCCATCCTTTACAACCCCAGTAGTCTCTCTTCTTGAAGTTTTGGATTTGTCTTTTGTTATTCTAGTGTATGTCATTAAGTAGTGTTACACAAAAAGGCATGGATTTTCCATTTAAAATATGTCTGTTACGTTCATATACAAACAACCTGAATTGAACCCATACCTTTAACAATCTGACCTTCAAATATCCATAGACATGGCATCTAAAATTTGGTATTATGGATTGCTTTTTCTGTATACGTTCTTTATATTTGAGACTTGAAAAGCCATAAATGTCCTTACGTGGTTCTCTTTCTGTTGGGTTTGCCTGGAACATAATATATGTTCAGTTTCCAGTTGAGATCAATATTTCAGAAGGGTTTCTTCTGTTATTTCTTTATTCATTTTTTATCTTTTTCAAACACCTCTAAAATTTGCTTTCAGTAGGCTGCACGTATGGATTCTATAGCCAACCCAGTTGCTACTACAACCCTGTAAATATAGTTGTTTTTAAATATTTGTTTCATAATCTGCAACCAACAACTTCAGTATCTGAAGTCTGTGATTCTGTTTTGTCTGTTGTCTTTCTTGCTCATGGTATCTTGTTAATATGTATATCTAGAGGGTCACTGTACATGAAGAGTAGTTTGTACAAATACTTTGAAAACTAGGATAAAGATATATTCCTCAAGAAAAGATCTTCATTTGTTTCTGTCAGGTACATGAATACTACCAGTCCAGTGCAACTTAAAACAAATGCAAGATGACAGTTTAGGCTTCCAGTGAGAGTTGTCCATTTCAAGATTATGCTCACCCTGATATAGCCATCTGAGGGTCCCAGCTTATGGCACAGAAGTCTCTTCTATACCCTCATGTGCAGACTCTGGACTTTAGTTTCTGTTCACTCCACACCTTCAAGGCATCAAAATTTAATGTTTCCAAAACCAGCAAATGCCCTCAGGGAAAAAATGGCTTTTAAGGTCATTACTTTTCTAGGTTTCCTTTTCTCTTCCATTTTGGCCTGGCAATTACAGGCATACACCAAAAAACTGAATTTCTTCCTATAAAATACCTCTTGGTTTTTATTTTTATTTATCTTTAAATATTTATTTTGAGAGAGGGACAGTGAGAATCCCAAGCAGAGTCTGTGCTGTTAGCAGAGAGCCTGAAACAGGGCTGGGTCATATGAACCACGAGACGACAATCAAAGGCAAAATCAAAAGTTGGATGTTTAAAAAAAAAAAAAAAGTTGGATGTTTAACTGAGCCACCTAAGCACCCTAAACTTCTTAGAATATGCTTAAACATCTTTCGAAGTAATTTTTTCAGATTTTTTTAAATGTTTTATTTATTTCTGAGAGAGAGAGAGACAGCATGAGCAGGGGAGGGTCAGAGAGGGAGAGGGAGAAACAGAATCTGAAGAAGGCTCCTGAGCTAGCTGTTAGCACAGAGCCCAACGCGGGTTGGGATTCTCGAATCCATGAACCATGAGATCGTGACCGGAGCCAGTCGGACGCTTAACCGACAGAGCCACTCAGGCGCCCCCAGATTATTTTTATACAGGAAATATTTACACTAGGTCCCCCAAACGCAATACAGCCTTTTTTTTTTTTTAAAAAAAAGCAAGACAATGTGTGAAGTTTCAAGTTACACTGCAATGCAATTGGTAGAATATCAGTCATCACACATACAGATTTTTTTTAAATTTAATGTTAATTTACTTTTGAGAGAGACAGG